ATTTGAAAACAGAGATGGAATTTCTGTCAAGAGATTAAAGACAATAGATTTTAGAATCCGAAGAATACATCCCAGCCGAAGAAATCCCTATAAAAGTAAAATGTCTTCGGGAAAATTAGAAAGATAAACAGAGTATCTTAAGGAGTTACTGAACTCACAGAAAAATGAAGCTGGATCTGAAACACCCCAACATTAAATATAATTATTTAAAAAAAAGTTGACGAGCAGCAAGCGAAGAAGCCTAACTATCAGAAAAGAGAAGAAATAATACAAACGTTACAAAAAAGCCGGAGATAAAATGGCGTTTCAATTATGTATTTAAAGATAAGATAATATACCAATATTGGCGACATTCTTTTATTGGTATGCATTATGGCGAATGCGCCAGGATGCCAGGATCAACACATTTCTCCTTAAAAATAAAATAAAAGAAATCAAGTACACACATGGTTAAAGCAGAGAAAGATCAAAATGTCTGATTTTATTGTGGATATTACAATAAAAAATATTTTTTTAAGATGAAAGCATCTTTTGTTGGTAGACTGTAAGGTGCTTATTCATTAAAATATAAGAATTCATATTTGAACAGAATAATAAAGGAATACCTTTTAAATCATGGGGTTATAGGAAATAAAAATGAACATCATCACTTCTCGTATCGTAGGTTGTAAACTTCCAACCAGACAGGTATGATGTTTACTGCTATACACTTAAACTCGTAAAATATTTTATTGCTTAGATAGGTATTTCCTTTTATTGCCGATAAATTGCATTCCGTTTTATGAATATCCTGATATCTCAAGTGGCAGTAATGCCAAGGATAGAGATATGGAAAAATACTCTTGAATATATAAGGAATATGTTACAACTATTACGAGTAAGCAGAGGAAATAAGATTAAAATCAGGCCACCATTATTAGGTAAAGGTAAAGTAAAGGACTGCGAACAAAAAAAAAAAACAAAATTTGATATATAATAATTATGGAAAACATTTAAGATTAACAGAACTAATGTCTGACGATGATTTTATTTTTCGTTGACAAACATGTAATTTACTCTGAAAATCTTCTACAGAAGATTCCTTCTTCTACTTTTACTTTTTCGTGCCCAAAAAACTGTAGTTTCTGAGCCCAGTATCTGTTGGGCTGTGTCCAATGCTAGTTTGTTGCCTGTCCATAAGTTATTAAGAATGCATCTATGCGGGTAGTTTGGGCAGGCTAGTAGATGTTCCATGTTCTGTATTGCTCCTCAGTCACACTTGTCGTCATTCTTATACAGCAGACCCCATAATAATAAGGTTTTACTTGGTCGGTTCTTAAACGGTTTGTCTAGCAGAGAGCTAAGGAAACCCTTGATTTCAGTCTGCCAGGATACGGCTGCTGGCCAAAAGGAGGGTTTTCTTCTTGTAGTTCCTTCTCCTATCGGAGGTTGGCTATTATCACATCTATACCACTCTCTTAGGTTTCTTAGCCAGGAACTTCATCGTCTTTATATGAATATTACCCTTCATTTTATCTTGCATTATAAGCCTTAATATTTCGCACCTTTGGTAATGTGGCCTAAATATTCCAGCTTTCTTGTTTTGATATGCTTTATGACCCCGTAATCCTATTGTAGCCTTCTTAACACTTCTGCATTTTTAGCTCGTTGGGTCCCCAGTATTTTCAAAATCCTTCTATAGCACCTCATCTCAAATGATTTCAACTTCTTTATATTATCCACTTTTAGTGGAGAACAAAGTCGAGAACATGTAGCATCTTAAGGCTCTTATCCTCAGCTCCAGAGGAAGGTCTTGATTAACAAACATTGTTTTTATTTTTATAAATGCTTATATTGCAATTTCAATGCGTGTCCTTATTTCTCTACCTTGGTTGTTGTTTTCATTTACCCAGGTTCCCAGATATTAGTAGTAGTATTATTCACTCTTTCTGCTTGTTCTCCCTCGATATCTAGCCTTCCTACTGTATGTTGCTTAAAAATAATCATGCACTTGGTTTTCTTAACGTTCATTTGTAGTCCATATTTTATACTGACTTGATGTAATCTATTTACTAAGCATTGCAGTGCTTCTAGACAGCGGTGTCATCTGCAAATCTTATGTTGTTCAAGATTTTTCCGCTTATACCCTGGTGTTCCTCTGATATTGCTTCCTTAAAAATAGTTTCGCTGTACAGATTGAATAACAATGGAGACAACACGCAACGCCGTCTAACAGCTCTTTTGATTTCTGTATTACATATACAGAATTATACATATATACAGATTGACAATAACCCGTACATCTCGCCTATCCACATTCTTTTCTTTTACAGTTTTACGAGTTTCTGACGTCATACTCTATCAAAAGCCTTTTGATAATCTATAAAGCAGTTATAGAGATCCTGGTTCATATCTAGTCGTCTTTGCGCGAGAACATTAAAAGCGAACAGAGCCATTCTCGTTTCTAGTCCTCCCTTGAATCCAAACTGGGTGTTATCTATATCTTCTATTTTTTTGTAGTCTTTCATGTATTATTTTAAGAAATATCTCAAGTGTGTGGTTTATTAAGGAAATTGTTCTGTACTGGGAGCATTCTGTCGCATGTACTGACTTTGGTAGTGTTACAAACGTGGACAGGAACCAATCTTTGGGTATTACTCCTGTTGTATATATTTTGTTGAACAGATCTAAAAGTATATGCATTATTCTTGCAAAAATCTAACGTTATCTTTGATGTCTGCAATGAGTTTACCATTATCATCTTTGAGTATACCATAGTGTACTCGCTTTTGATATTTGTTAGTTCTTTTATTTTTTTATGCATACTAAAACTGTCGTATTTTCTGTCATACTCTTCGTTTCTATGCATTAATCTGTTAACCACTTTTCCTTGGCCTTTTTATCTCTACTTTAATTTTACTTTGTAGTTTTTGATATTTTGGCTCATTTCTCCCTTTGGCTTTACTCCTCTCTTCCATTATTGCAAGAATTTCTGAAATCATCCACTTCTGTTTTTTATTTGTCTTTTCAGGCTTTAAATTTTTTTCTGCAACCTTTAGTACTGCCTTCTAAATATTGCTCCACTTTTTATTGACATCTTTTAATGTTTAAGATTTCTTCTCCTACTTCTGTTAGATTTGAGTTGACTTGTTGGATCACTTTTTGATGTATTTCTCTTTATCTTAATGTTGCATAATCAAACGTTAATTTATCTTTAGGTATGACAATCTTTTGAGTTTCAAGTGCATTTTAGCTATCAGATAGAGGGTGGCGGTTATCAAAGTTTCGTTTGGATCTTTCGGTGAATTCGTGAACCGTACTACCAGAGTCAGGATCTGAGAAGCCTGAAGCTGATTCAGGTTATTATGAGGGATTGGTCTCATACAGCGGTTAATGAGGCTACAAGTCTAGTTCAGACTGACATTTACTTTTTTGAAGTGCGCAGATCTCTTCTATACTGAGCATGCGTATTCCGTCGTTGAGAAAACGCCTAAGTTTACTTAAAATTTGTTGCGCACATCCTCCTTCTTTCGATTTTTTTTAATAGTGGAACCTGTCTTTTAATGAGAGGTCTAGTGTGACTCCAAGGTATATTGGCTTTTCGGTGTGGTCTAGAAAGACGCTTTTCCAGGTGATGTTGAGTTTCCTTTTGGCCAGTCGGCACTGAAGGTGAAAAGCGCAGACTGAGTTTTGGTTGGATTTGGTCTTAGCGAGTTTTCTTTATATTAGACATTAAATTCGAGGCAGCTTTCAATATTTGTTCGACCTCTTCAAAGCTTGAACTTTGGATTGTGACGCCTAATTCGTCTCAAAGTACTCAATTATACCATAGTATTTGATTTCATAAAAAGCTTATAACCTCAAAGAAGATGTTGCTTATAAATCCATTTCTTTTTAAAGTGGTAAAACAACTTATTAACTTGATTATTTAAAAAAAACCCAAAACAGACCTCTTTAATAAGAGTAGTCTTTAATAATAAAAGGTGAAACCGATATTAAAATTAAATACTTCAACGGAGTTCTCAAGGTATAAAATTTTTATTAATAAACCATATTAATAAAACTGTCTGCTGATAATAGATCACTAGAATTTGTTTTCAAAACTGCAAAATATTTTCAAAATATTAATACACTCATAATTCTGCATCAATCTCTGTAAACTAGAATATAGTGCTATTATATGGAATCCCTATTATAGTTGTTATATAAGCAGAACATCTAGCATCTAGAGTCAGTCTAGCGAACATTTGTTAAATATTTGCAAGACCATTAAAATAGAGAAAATGATAGATCTCAAATATGTAAACACGCATGGGAAAATGAACATTTTGTTTAATGGAAAGATTCAAGTATAGTCCTAAGAGAAACAGATGGTAAAAGAGAAAAATCAAAGAAGCGGCGCTAATCAAGCGCTATGGAATCACTAACAGGAGAATTTTACTGTCATCATGGCACGTGGTTGTCTTTTTAAAAACAAATTACATGCTAGTTAAAGTTAAATTCATGTAATCGAATGAACTATCTTACAATAAAGTCGCCCAACGACTTAACTCAGCAATATTGTCAATATCATTTTAAAGTAGTCTATCAAGAAGAAGAAAGACAGGATGAAATAGAGAGCAAAGGAGCGACATTTAGACATTTCAAACCAGCAAAAGAAACAGTGAAACATCAAGATCAAGACCAAAAAGAAAAATTGCGTGTGTTCCTGTTTTTTTTTTTGCTTTGTTTTTTGAATATATTTTTGTCAAAAAAATTATATTTAACTCTAAAAGCTGACATTTCGATAGGAAATTTGATTTTGAACAACCTTTCTTTAGATATATATGTATAAAAACTGCACAGAAACTAATTCAACCCTTTCTTATTAACGCACCCCTTTAAATGGTAGCACTTCGCGGGTTTTAGGGGTGCATTGGCCATACAAAACAATAAAATCCCTTTATCGTTGTAGTTTCTTTCTGAAGTACATAATCAATACCTGCAACTCCATTAACTAAAATTCTGATATTAATACTCACCTACAAAAGTATATAATATTCCAAAAATAATATAAAGGGCGAAAACGATAGCGACTTTGATGTCGTAGTGCGTATCGACGTGTGTGCAGCTTTCAACGTGGGGACCATCGTGCACCGGAGGAAGGACCAAACCTGGAAAAGCCGTTCCGTTCACTCTGGGAGGTACCAGGGAGCCAGGCCGGGCTCCACTAGCCATCCTCTTCAATCTGAAACAATAAAATAATATTTAAGATTATTTTTCTTTAACTTGAAAGTTAAATTAAAAGTATTATAGCAGAATGTAAATTGTGTATAGCGTAAATTGTGTATAGTGTATTGTGTAAATTGTGGAAAACTTCCAGTGAAATTTTAGGTCATAGAACTAAAGATTTTCTCATGACAAGCGTTGATACAAGTATCTAACAACTGCTTTTGGTAAATTTGGTGGTTTCTTCTTTAAGTTCCATCGACTATCGAAGATTGAAAATCAGCATGGCTATGCGGACCCTGTTAACTGCTGCTCTAAATTGTTCCGCACTATTGCATTCAAATCATTCCCTCAAGTTCTTAGCCACGATATTCTTCATCTTCCCACAATTCGCTTTCCTCGAATTTTGCCTTGCATAGTAAGCTGCAATAATGAGTATTTGTGTTTTCCCTCTCATACCATGGCCTAAGTACTCAAGTTTTCCTTTTTTGATAGTCAATATTATTTTAGCTTCATTTCCTATTCTTCTAGTAAGTTCTGTGTTTGACATTCTTTGAGTCCATGATATTCGTAGGATTCTTCTGTAATACCCAAATTCAAAGGCGGCCAACTTATTTAGATGCATTTGTTTTAATGTCCATGCTTCCAAGCCATAAAGGACAGTAGTGAATACGTACCACCGAAGCATTGTTAGGCATAGTCCTAACCGTATATTTGATATGAGGTTAAATGCTCGAATAAATGAACTTTGAAAATTAAGGCAATTATCGAGCACAAGTTTAATCAAACCTTGCCCAAGTACTTTCGTTTAATATAGCATCTTCAGGGGCATTTCGTCAAATATGGGCTATCCAGCAAGCGTAGAATGTGATAAACATGAATTGTAACATTAAATTGTACAAAACACTACACTAAGACAAGGACAAACAGTTTAAAATTAATTAAAATGATTCTACGGTCTACATTATTTGTCAGTAACAGGAGAGAGAATGGTTACCATTGGTCCTCCGTACTTTAGGAGTTCGTTAAGTGTTCTGTCCTCTTCTGGTGATTTTCCATTTTCTTAATTTCCTTAATGCTTCCTTTTACCTTTTCCTGTTCAATATTTATTTCTTCGTTTGTCGTCACCTCTAGTGTTGATGGTTTATTATCGTTACCTTTAGCAAATAGGGATTGAAAGCAGTCTACCCATGTTTCCTTCTATGTGTTTTGTTTTTATTAGTTCGTATCTCTTTTCTTTGTCCCCTGATCATTCTCCATATTTCTTTTTGTGTTCCGTAGAAATCGTGTTCCATCTATTTAGAGAAACTCTGCCAATGTTCCTTTTTTATTTGTCTAATTAACTAAAGTATTCGTTTCATTTCTGATTTGCTTATAGTGGTTGTATGCCTGTTGTGTTTGTTCTGTATTGTAAAAAGGCTTTCTTCTTTTATCATATTTTGTCTTCACTACCTCTCTAAACCATGGTGTTTTTTTTTCGTGTTCGTTACTTTCCTCTCTCTAAGTGATTCTCTTGCTGCATTAGTTATGTTATTTTTGAGTTTTTACCAGCTTTTCTCGATGTTTTCGTCTTCTAATATTTTATTAGGTGGATTCTGTATTTAGTTCTTCGACTTTGATTTTTGTTTGTGTTAACGCCGCTCTCTTGGATGGGAAGTATTTCAGGATGATTCTTATTTTACATAATACTAGGCTTTTCAAGAGTTAGTTTTTATTTTAAATTTACCAACTGATTTGGTATTCCTAGCTCTTTCATTGCTTTGAACTTTTGAAAACGAAGTATTTATGATCATGGAGATTTTAAGACCAAACCTAACTTCACAAATGGTACTCACAATAACCATAAAATTAACTCTGTACATTGGATAGGTACAATAAATTGTAGTTCAATCTGGAACACAAAGCGTCAAATAAAACATTTATTGAATTACTAACCTCTTGCGTTTTATGACTTTTAGATTCTCATTTCTTATAAAAATATATTGTTTATTCGACTATTTGTTCAGATATTTTTGTATTTTTTCATTTAAATAGATAATCCTTCATTTAAAGTTTTCATCTTGTGAATGCTGAACGAAAGACGTTTACGTAGGTCAATATTGCAACACCCTGTGATTATTTATTACGCTAATACAATATCCATCTTATGCCTACTTGCGAATATTTGAAAGGCTAATTTAAACCTATGGAATAACATCAACATTTTTCAATGTTCTTGTAGGCTTTTGTTCCGATCATTTATGGGTTTCATTACTGTAGTGTTCGCACCATGTGTTTATATTATTCAAAGGATGCTTTGAATAATTTTTTCTTATTTCAATAATTATTTCCTTGAATTTCAATAATTTATAACCACTGTCTTATATACATATAGAACCAGATAAATATAAAAAAAATTGCAACGGTAAAATCTTTAAGCAACGGGTAATTTAACTCAATAAAAATGACATCTTTTTTTTTTCATTTTCTGACTATGCAGTATTGACTGTTAATAAGTTATTTTTCAGATTAGTAATATAAGGTCTTAAGGAATTAATTCTTTTTTTATCTGTAATACATTTCATTTTTATATTAGCATCATTTAACTGTAAAATCTTAACTAGATGGCTCTATAGTGATTGCTGCTACGCTTTAGTACACATGCTACGATTGGAGTAGTACTTTTATATTACATTTCCATTATTATTTATGTGTAAAAAGAGATATGTGATAATTATTAAGTTTTAACCCTTTTTCCTCAAGAGCTTGTCTCCACTGTTTCAGTTACACTAACACGACATCCTTAGGATACTTAACTAAGGAGAATAGATAAGGACTAAGTATCTCCCACACCTGTTCTAACATTAGTTGTTTCTTTATACATGTTTCTCACAATCTTTACATATTCACAGGGAACTCATTTCTTGTTGTGTGCCCACCACATAATCTCTCAAAGAACTCTATCATATGCTTTCTCAAGATCAATAAATACCATATGAGCGTTTGTTTCTTTATTCCTGTGTTTTTTCACTTACTGCCTAATAATGAAAATTTCATCTGTTGTTGATTTGCCTTGTATAAAGCCAAACTGATTCTCGGTTTCTTCAAGTTTCCGTCTAGCAATTTCTCTCTCCCATATTTTCATGGTGTGATTAAGTAGTCTTAAGGACCTGTAGTTTATACATTGTTGTTTATCTCCCTTGTTTTTGTAAACATAATTCTGTTGAATAACCCTCTTAACTAACTTAATCCTGTCTCTCCCGATGCTCTCCACACTTCCCCAGGAATATCATCTGGTACAACTGCTTTTCCTTTCTTTATTTTTTGAAGTGCCTGAAGCACTTCCTCGTTTGTTATCTTATTCACCATTGCTGTTACTTGCTCCGTTAATTCAGCTGGTTCTCTGTCAAATTCTTCATCTAGTAAACTGTCAAAGTACTTTTTTCATCTCTTTTTAACATCCTTTTCGTAAATTATATCCTTTAAAGGGTAATATAAAATAACTGAGATGAAGGGAAATATAATTAACAATTTAAGGGACTGGTTTAAATAGAACTTTTCCGAGCAGCGGTAAAGTGAAGATAATGATGATGTTCAACTTCCGATTGAGAGACGACACTTAAAGAAGAAGAAGTCACAATATCTAAAACAATTTTGGTCTATAATTAAACTGGACATGTCTAAAACCTACCAAAATTGGAAATACCAAAAAATTAAAAAATAATGCAAAATGATCTTTGGAAGTTCGCATCTAAAATTATAGCTGAATTCAAGAATTTATGATTGGCCCACGGTTTTCAGTTGTTCAGTTAGTAGACGCCTGGCTAAAAACATCAACTTTCTAGAAGAAATAAAGCCACAAGACTTGCACGTCGCCATTTAAATTGGATAGTAGGCGATTGTAAAATGTAGTAATTAGTAATTAAACATGATATAAAATTTTTAATTTCAATTGAATGAAACGTGTGCGACGTGCGATGAGCAATCAATACCAGGTTCAATCCTAGATAAATAAAACTGGCAGTTAAATATATTCAAGGTAGTATTTTTTATTGGTATTCTGGATGGGTACCCCATTCTGGATACTTTACAAAAATTATATTATCGTTGTTCCAGAAACACTCGTCTCATGGTCGTGATTTATATAGTTTATCAGTGCAATTACATTTTTATTTTATTGTTTTATATTTCTCCTTAATATTTTATATATTTCTCACTCTATATATTAACATAATTATTTAATAAAATATGGAAACAGATTTAAGCGAAACGCCGAAAATTGGAGATTTGTGAATCGCAACATTGGCAATACTGTATAGTGTTAACCATAGACGTTATTTATTTATACGTCCATGGTGTTAACACTTCAAGCTGTAGTTGTGAGAGAGTGAATATCCTAAAGATAGAGCGTATCAAAACAAAAATACACCTCGCCTTATAAAAGTTCTTTGTCCTCCTGTAAAAAGCGTCTCATTGTATAATAATTGTTGTATTTCCGGTATTACAACATTTCAGTTCAGGTTTCATTGCCTTCCCATTGCACCGCTTGATATCTACCATGTCCTGCTTAGAAATGCACGCTTTTCGAATACCGTATACGAGGAATCACATTATCTCGATTACCGGGTATTCTCCTTTGTTCTATATTTACGGGTTTGTACGCAAGGCGAATCCGCAACAAATATGCACGCGATTTTTTTGTAGTTTTCAAAATTCGAAATTTTGAAATGAAGATAGATTAGCGGGAATTTTGTAGTTAATCAAGTAAACCATATACTTATGAAACGAAACATCACAACAATCTAATACAAAGCTTAGAGTGGATAATTAATTTTACTGACATAAATGTTTATAAAAATTTACGGGTTAAGATTAGGATTAGAAATATGCTTTATTATTAGTGAAAATTATGGACAAAGCTTACAAAAAGTCTGAAAATAACAATAACAATTACAATTTACTGAAATTACATAAATCTTCAATATCCCAAAATAAAAGATATTAAAATAAACAACCACTACAAAATTTAAATAAATTGCA